ACTAAATATTACCCTGCTCACACCCCAACAGATCGTCAGGTCCCAAGTACCATTCGTCTCCATTCACTCCTATCAAACACACTCACGCATGCTTGCTGGAAGTCCAAGCCCCTTGCCCACAAAACCTCCTTTACCCCCTCTCTCCAACCCTTTCGAGGACGACCCCTACCCCGCCTTCCTTCCCCTATAGATTTATATGCTTTCCATGTCATTCTACTTTGATCCATTCTCTCTAAATGACCAAACCACCTCAACAACCCCTCTTCTGCCCTCTGACTAATACTCTTATTAACTCCACACCTTTTCCTAATTTCCACACTCTGAATTTTCTGCATAATATCTACACCACACATTGCCCTTAAACAGGACATCTCCACTGCCTCCAACCGTCTCCTCGCTGCTGCATTTACCACCCAATCTTCACACCCATATAAGAGTGTTGGTACTACTATACTTTCATACATTCCCTTCTTTGCCTCCATAGATAACGTTTTTTTGACTCCACATATACCTCAACGCACCACTCACCTTTTTTCCCTCATCAATTCTATGATTAACCTCATCCTTCATAAATCCATCCACCAACACGTCAACTCCCAAGTATCTGAAAACATTCACTTCTTCCATACTCCTCCTCCCCAATTTGATATCCAATTTTTCTTTATCTAAATCATTTGATACCCTCATCACCTTACTCTTTTCTATGTTCACTTTCAACTTTCTACCTTTACACACATTACCAAACTCATCCACTAACTTTTGCAATTTTTCTTTAGAATCTCCCATAAGCACAGTATCATCAGCAAAAAGTAACTGTGTCAATTCCCATTTTGAATTTGATTCCCCAAAATTTAATCCCACCCCTCTTCCGAACACCCTAGCATTTACTTCCTTTACAACCCCATCTATAAATATATTAAACAACCATGGTGACATTACACATCCCTGTCTAAGACCTACTTTTACTGGGAAGTACTCTCCCTCTCTTCTACACACCCTAACCTGAGCCTCGTTATCCTCATAAAAACTCTTTACAGCATTTAATAACTTACAACATCTGCCACATTGCTCCTCTATCCACTCTATCATATGCCTTTTCTAAATCCATAAATGCAATAAAAACTTCCCTACCTTTATCTAAATACTGTTCACATATATGCTTCAATGTAAACACTTGATCTACACATCCCCTACCCACTCTGAAACCTCCTTGTTCATCCGCAATCCTACATTCTGTCTTACCTCTAATTCTTTCAATTATAACCCTACCGTACACTTTTCCTGGTATATTCAGTAAACTTATTCCTCTATAATTTTTACATTCTCTTTTGTCCTCTTTCCCTTTATATAAAGGGACTATACATGCTCTCCGCCAATCCCTAGGTACCTTCCCCTCTTTCATACATTTATTAAACAAAAGTACCAACCACTCCAACACTATATCCTCCCCTGCTTTTAACATTTCTGTCATGATCCCATCAGTTCCAGCTGCTTTACCCCCTTTCATTCTACGTAATGCCTCACGTACCTCCCCCACACTTACATTCTGCTCTACTTCACTCCTAAAAGATGGTATACCTCCCTGACCAGTGCATGAAATTACTGCCTCTCTTTCTTCCTTAACATTTAAAAGTTCCTCAAAATATTCTCGCCATCTACCTAATACCTCCATCTCCCCATCTACTAACTCCCCTACTCTGTTTTGAACTGACAAATCCATACTTTCCCTAGGCTTTCTTAACTTGTTTAACTCACTCCAAAAATTTTTCTTATTTTCATTAAAATTTCTTGACAGTGCCTCTCCCACTCTATCATCTGCTCTCCTTTTGCACTCTCTCACCACTCTCTTTACCTTTCTTTTACTCTCCATATACTCTGCTCTTCTTATAACACTTCTGCTTTGTAAAAACCTCTCATAAGCTACCTTTTTCTCTTTTATCACACCCTTAACTTCATCATTCCACCAATCACTCCTCTTTCCTCCTGCCCGCACCCTCCTATACCCACAAACTTCTGCCCCACATTCTAATACTGCATTTTTAAAACTATTCCAACCCTCTCCAACCCCCCCCACTACTCATCTTTGCACTAGTCCACCTTTCTGCCAATAGTCGCTTATATCTCACCTGAACTTCCTCCTCCCTTAGTTTATACACTTTCACCTCCCTCTTACTTGTTGTTGCCACCTTCCTCTTTTCCCATCTACCTCTTACTCTAACTGTAGCTACAACTAAATAATGATCCGATATAACTGTTGCCCCTCTATAAACTTGTACATCCTGGAGCCTACCCATCAACCTTTTATCCACCAATACATAATCTAATAAACTACTTTCATTACGTGCTACATCATACCTTGTATATTTATTTATCCTTTTTTCATAAAATATGTATTACTTATTACCAAATCTTTTTTCAACACATAGCTCAATTAAAGGCTCCCCATTTACATTACCCCCCGGCACCCCAAATTTACCTACTACTTCCCCCTATAACATTTTACCCACTTTAGCATTGAAATCCCCAACCACCATTACTCTCACACTTGATTTAAAACCCCCACGCATTCACTCAACATTTCCCAAAATCTCTCTCTCTCCTCTACACTTCTCTCTTCTCCAGGTGCATACACGCTTATTATAACCCACTTTTCACATCCAATCTTTATTTTACTCCACATAATCCTTGAACTAATACATTTGTAGTCCCTCTTTTCCTGCCATAGCTTATCTTTCAACATTATTGCTACTCCTTCCTTAGCTCTAACTCTATTTGAAACCCCTGACCTAATCCCATTTATTCCTCTCCATTGAAACTCTCCCACTCCCTTCAGCTTTGTTTCACTTAAAGCCAGGACATCCAGCTTCTTCTCATTCATAACATCCACAATCATCTCTTTCTTATCATTTGCACAACATCCATGCACATTCAGACTTCCCACTTTGACAATTTTCTTCTTCTTATTCTTTTTAGTAATCTTTGCAGGAAAAGGGGTTACTAGCCCATTGTTCCCGGCATTTTAGTTGACTTTTACAACCTGCATGGCTTACGGAGGAAAGATTCTTATTCCACTTCCCCATGGATATAAAAGGAAAAGTAATAAGACCAAGAACTATTAAGATAAAATCAAAGAAAACTCAGATGAGTGTGTATAAATAAATGTGTACATGTATGTGTAGTGTGACCTAAGTGTAAGTAGAAGTAGCAAGACATACCTGTAACCTTGCATATTTATGAGACAGACAAAAGACATCAGCTTATTTCTTGGGTAGTAGTGAAAATTGGGTTGGGCAAATATTTTGTTAGTGGGATAAATTGTGAAAGATCTACCTAGTATGGGCCAACAAGCCTGCTGCAGTGTTCTTCCTTTCTTATGTCCTTAAATGCTACCCAAGCAATAAGCTTTGAGAATTCTATTTACTCATGTGCAAGTCCCACTCAAATCCAACCCCTCTCACTTATGTATTTATCCAACCTAAATTTGAAACTATCCAAGGTTTTAGCTTCAATAACCCTACTAGGCAGACTGTTCCGTTCATCAACTACCCTATTGCCAAACCAATCCTTTCCTATATACTTTCTAAATCTAAACTTGTCTAATTTTAATTCATTACTGCGGGTTCTCTCTTGGAGAGAGATCCTCAAGACCTTATTTATATCCCCTTTATTAATACCCATCTTCCACTTATACACTTCGATCATGTCTCCCCTCATTCTTCGTCTATCAAGTGAATGTAATTTAAGGGTCTTCAATCTTTCTTCAAAAAGAAGATTTCTAATGCTATGTATTAATTTAGTCATTCTACGCTAAATGTTTTCTAATGAATTTATGTCCATTCTGTAATATGGAGACCAGAACTGAGCTGCGTAATCTAGGTGAGGCCTTACTAATGATATACGTATAAAGCTGTAATATAACCGCTGAACTTCTGTTGCTTACACTTCTTGATATAAATCCCAGTAATCTGTTTGCCTTGTTACATACACTTAGGCATTGCTGTCTTGGGCAACTGAGATCGTTTCTTCAAATCTACAGAGTTTTGTGGGGAATTATGCTTCTATCAATGTCATTCATCACCTTCAAAGCCCTCAACATAAATATGATTTGGCGGCTGGGAATTTAGCAGCTGGAAATTTGCAAATGTTCGAAGCCCACGAAAATGGAAAACGCGAATGTTGAGGGAGACCTATAATGTATATTAGAGCTGATTTCCTCTATTCTGCTTATTACAATACAGCCTCTCCTCACTTAACGACAGAGTTCCATTCCTATGACCATGTCGTTAAATGAATTCGTCACTAAGTGAGGAGCATGCAATAATAGCAGAGAGTTTGTGTCGACCATCTCTGATATTGTTTTACTGTCACCTTTTCTGGTATATTTTTAAATGTTTATACAGTAGTGTTCTGTATATTGTAATAAACAGAATAGAAGAAATCAGCACTAATACGACTCATCAGTAAACGAGTACGTCACTAAGTGAGGAGAGGCTGCTGGATACAGTACACTACTGTATAAACATTTAAAAATATAACAGAAATGCTATAAATGGTGAAAAGGTGACTAAAACAATATCAAAGATGGATGACACAAACCCACTATGATTATATTATACTCCTTGCTTAGCGACGAATTCATTTACCGATGTGGTCTTAGGAAGGAAACTCCGTCGTTAAGTGAGGAGAGGCTGTATACAATGCCACTAATTGGTAAGGCATTTCATATACCAAAGAGACAGAAATGGTTGTTAAGTCACATAAACATTTCACACAATCATTTCTAAATTTAACTTCCTATTTTATTTGTTAAATGATTCAATAAAGGCAAAATATTTAAGTTTATACTTCATATTTATGACAAAATTAACAGTATCATTTGCTTATCCTGGCAATTTTTAATGACATGCCACTGATTAGAACTATAACAATCTACTAATACTTAAAATAATTACCTGATAAATATTCCAAAACCATGAAAATCCACTATTTTAAATAATTACCTGATAAATATTCCAAGTAGTGTTAGGAGGAAGGGTAGTGTTGGGGCTCGGAGGGAACGTGTGAACCACTTGCTCAGTGGCCCCACCATCACCATCTGCACTATAACCCTTAACCTGAACCTCATACCAGTCAGCCTCTGACAAAAAATAATCATTAAGTATACAAATTCCACACTTATGTCACATCAGAAAATTAGTAGTTTAATAAATAATTTCACTTTGGGAAATTCAATATTGATAAATTTATTAATTATTATTCCAATAGAGAACAGAATTCACAGTATATATCATGGATAGAACTTTTCATTACAACCTCTCCTCACTTAGCGACGTACTCATTTACCTACCACTCGGACTTACGACCAGCTCTCCAACCAGTATGCTAACCTAAGTAATGTATATTAGAGCTGATTTCCTCTATTCTGTTTATTACAGTATACAGTATATTACTGTATAGACATTAAAAATATACTAGAAATATTATAAATGATGCAAAGGTGACATTAAAAAAACGTCTGAAGATGATTGACACAAACCCACTACCAGTTGAGTATGCTCTTCACTTAATGACCAATTCACTTACCGGCCTTCTCTTAGGAATGGAACCCCATCATTTAGTGAGGAGAGGCTGTATTATTATTATTATTATATTATTATTATTATTATTATTATTATTATTATTATTATTATTTTTTTTTTTTTTTTTTTTTCAACAAGTCGGTCGTGTATGCGTGTATGCACCTGGAGAAGAGAGGAATGCAGAGGAGAGAGAGAGAGAGATTTTGGGAGATGTTAAGTGAATGTATAGGAGCCTTTGAACCAAGTGAGAGAGTAATTGTGGTAGGGGACCTGAATGCTAAAGTAGGAGAAACTTTTAGAGAGGGTGTGGTAGGTAAGTTTGGGGTGCCAGGTGTAAATGATAATGGGAGCCCTTTGATTGAACTTTGTATAGAAAGGGGTTTAGTTATAGGTAATACATATTTTAAGAAAAAGAGGATAAATAAGTATACAAGATATGATGTAGGGCGAAATGACAGTAGTTTGTTGGATTATGTATTGGTAGATAAAAGACTGTTGAGTAGACTTCAGGATGTACATGTTTATAGAGGGGCCACAGATATATCAGATCACTTTCTAGTTGTAGCTACACTGAGAGTAAAAGGTAGATGGGATACAAGGAGAATAGAAGCATCAGGGAAGAGAGAGGTGAAGGTTTATAAACTAAAAGAGGAGGCAGTTAGGGTAAGATATAAACAGCTATTGGAGGATAGATGGGCTAATGAGAGCATAGGCAATGGGGTCGAAGAGGTATGGGGTAGGTTTAAAAATGTAGTGTTAGAGTGTTCAGCAGAAGTTTGTGGTTACAGGAAAGTGGGTGCAGGAGGGAAGAGGAGCGATTGGTGGAATGATGATGTAAAGAGAGTAGTAAGGGAGAAAAAGTTAGCATATGAGAAGTTTTTTACAAAGTAGAAGTGATGCAAGGAGGGAAGAGTATATGGAGAAAAAGAGAGAAGTTAAGAGAGTGGTGAAGCAATGTAAAAAGAGAGCAAATGAGAGAGTGGGTGAGATGTTATCAACAAATTTTGTTGAAAATAAGAAAAAGTTTTGGAGTGAGATTAACAAGTTAAGAAAGCCTAGAGAACAAATGGATTTGTCAGTTTAAAAATAGGAGAGGAGAGTTATTAAATGGAGAGTTAGAGGTATTGGGAAGATGGAAGGAATATTTTGAGGAATTGTTAAATGTTGATGAAGATAGGGAAGCTGTGATTTCGTGTATAGGGCAAGGAGGAATAACATCTTGTAGGAGTGAGGAAGAGCCAGTTGTGAGTGTGGGGGAAGTTCGTGAGGCAGTAGGTAAAATGAAAGGGGGTAAGGCAGCCGGGATTGATGGGATAAAGATAGAAATGTTTAAAAGCAGGTGGGGATATAGTTTTGGAGTGGTTGGTGCAATTATTTAATAAATGTATGGAAGAAGGTAAGGTACCTAGGGATTGGCAGAGAGGCATGCATAGTTCCTTTGTATAAAGGCAAAGGGATAAAAGAGAGTGCAAAAATTATAGGGGGATAAGTCTGTTGAGTGTACCTGGTAAAGTGTATGGTAGAGTTATAATTGAAAGAATTAAGAGTTAAGACGGAGAATAGGATAGCAGATGAACAAGGAGGCTTTAGGAAAGGTAGGGGGTGTGTGGACCAGGTGTTTACAGTGAAACATATAAGTGAACAGTATTTAGATAAGGCTAAAGAGGTCTTTGTGCCATTTATGGATTTGGAAAAGGCGTATGACAGGGTGGATAGGGGGGCAATGTGGCAGATGTTGCAAGTGTAATGGTGTAGGAGGTAGGTTACTGAAAGCAGCGAAGAGTTTTTACGAGGATAGTGAGGCTCAAGTTAGAGTATGTAGGAAAGAGGGAAATTTTTTCCCAGTAAAAGTAGGCCTTAGACAAGGATGTGTGATGTCACCGTGGTTGTTTAATATATTTATAGATGGGGTTGTAAGAGAAGTAAATGCGAGGGTCTTGGCAAGAGGCGTGGAGTTAAAAGATAAAGAATCACACACAAAGTGGGAGTTGTCACAGCTGCTCTTTGCTGATGACACTGTGCTCTTGGGAGATTCTGAAGAGAAGTTGCAGAGATTGGTGGATGAATTTGGTAGGGTGTGCAAAAGAAGAAAATTAAAGGTGAATACAGGAAAGAGTAAGGTTATGAGGATAACAAAAAGATTAGGTGATGAAAGATTGAATATCAGATTGGAGGGAGAGAGTATGGAGGAGGTGAACGTATTCAGATATTTGGGAGTGGACGTGTCAGCAGATGGGTCTATGAAAGATGAGGTGAATCATAGAATTGATGAGGGAAAAAGAGTGAGTGGTGCACTTAGGAGTCTGTGGAGACAAAGAACTTTGTCCTTGGAGGCAAAGAGGGGAATGTATGAGAGTATAGTTTTACCAACGCTCTTATATGGGTGTGAAGCGTGGGTGATGAATGTTGCAGCGAGGAGAAGGCTGGAGGCAGTGGAGATGTCATGTCTGAGGGCAATGTGTGGTGTGAATATAATGCAGAGAATTCGTGGTTTGGAAGTTAGGGGTAGGTGCGGGCTTACCAAAACTGTTGTCCAGAGGGCTGAGGAAGGGTTGTTGAGGTGGTTCGGACATGTAGAGAGAATGGAGCGAAACAGAATGACTTCAGAGTGTATCAGTCTGTAGTGGAAGGAAGGCGGGGTAGGGGTCGGCCTAGGAAAGGTTGGAGGGAGGGGGTAAAGGAGGTTTTGTGTGCGAGGGACTTGGACTTCCAGCAGGCATGCGTGAGCGTGTTTGATAGGAGTGAATGGAGACAAATGGTTTTTAATACTTGACGTGCTGTTGGAGTGTGAGCAAAGTAACATTTATGAAGGGATTCAGGGAAACCGGCAGGCCGGACTTGAGTCCTGGAGATGGGAAGTACAGTGCCTGCACTCTGAAGGAGGGGTGTTAATGTTGCAGTTTAAAAACTGTAGTGTAAAGCACCCTTCTGGCAAGACAGTGATGGAGTGAATGATGGTGAAAGTTTTTCTTTTTCGGGCCACCCTGCCTTGGTGGGAATCAGCCAGTGTGATAATAATAATAATAATAATATATTATTATTAAAGAGGAAGTGCTAAACTAGCAGGGGAGGTCATACAGTGCCTGGAGGAATGGGAGGTAAATCCGATTTGAGCCAAGGAAGGATCAGCTTCCAACTGAAATGAGTAATTTTTAATATATTTAATTGGAGTGTCAGATAAGCAGCAATTTACACAAAAAATAAATACATCAAGATACATCATATAAACCTCCATGGGGAAGTGGAACAGAATTCTTCCTCCGTAAGCCATGCGTGTTGTAAGAGGCGACTAAAATGCCGGGAGCAAGGGGCTAGTAACCCCTTCTCCCATATAAATTACTAAATTTAAGAGAAACTTTCGTTTTTCTTTTTGGGCCACCCTGCCTTGGTGGGATACGGCCGGTGTGTTGAAAGAAGAAATCATATAAATTTAGTCATAAGTATTGCTTCAATGCCTTGAAGCAGGTTAGGTTAGGTAAGGTAAGGTTCATCAGGAAACAGGACAAGTGTTTTCTGATGCAGGTCTTAATAAGATGATGACCCGCCATTGGAGCTTTTGGTCATCTGACCGAGGTTCAATTCCTTGCATCAGCAACCCCTTACTGGCATCAAGGAACCACTCTTGATGTTTTATATACAGAGAAAAATCACAAACTTTAATTTATGGTTATTTACCTAAACCAGTGATGGTGAATGATGTCTGTGTAGGAAGAAGAGTGATGGGACCCACCCACTGCCTGTCCTGGCGTCGATATTTTAACGTGTAACCTTCAACTTCAGCTGTATTCTCAGGAGGAAGCTTCCAATCAATCTGAAATTAGAGTATGTATTCAATATATTAAAATAATAATCAACCTGACAAGCTGTTGGAGTGTGAGCAGGGTAATATTTTGTGAAGGGATTCAGGGGAAACCAGTTAGCCGGACTTGAGTCCTGGAGGTGGGGAGTACAATGCCTGCACTTTAAAGGAAGCGTTTGGGATATTAGATGTTTGGAGTGGCATCTAAATTGTTGTATCTGGGTGCCTCTGCATAGACAGTGATTATGTGTGAATGATGGTGAATGTGTTGAATGATGGTGAAAATGTTTCTTTCCTTTTTTGGGTCACCATGCCTCGGTGGGAGACAGCCAATGTTCTGAAAAAAAAAATAATCAAATAGACTACATAGCTATCAACAAAAATGAAAAAATCTAATCTTACTAACTTATTCATAACAAAATATTTAAGTCAAATTTTATTTCCAAGAATTAGTATTGATTTAACTCTAGGACTATATTTTTCATACATTCTAAGGAAAAATCATTGTTACACAAAGCAATTTGGGCAGACTGAAACTAGCAATTACAAACAAGTATTTAGATTAAGACCTAGGTAGTAGGTTGGTAGACAGCAACCGCCCAGGGAGGTACTACCGTCCTGCCAAGTGAGTGTAAAACGAAAGCCTGTAATTGTTTTACATGATGGGAGGATTGCTGGTGTCCATTTTTCTGTCTCATAAACATGCAAGGTTTCAGGTATGTCTTGCTACTTCTACTTACACTTAAGTCACACTACACATACATGTACAAGCATATATATACACACCCCTCTAGGTTTTCTTCTATTTTCTTACTAGTTCTTGGTCTTGTTTATTTCCTCTTACCTCCATGAGGAAGTGGAACAGAATTCTTCCTCCGTAAGCCATGCGTGTTGTAAGAGGCGACTCAAATGCCAGGAGCAAGGGGCTAGTAACCCCTTCTCCTGTATATATTACTAAATGTAAAAGGAGAAGCTTTCGTTTTTCCTTTTGGGCCACCCCGCCTTGGTGGGATACGGCCGGTGTGTTGAAAGAAGAAGAAAAGGAGAAACTTTCGTTTTTCCTTTTGGGCCACCCCGCCTCGGTGGGATACGGGTGGTGTGTTGAAAGAAAGAAAGATTTAGATTAAGACTATAAAATAATTTAAGTTGTGTGTGACAGTTCAGTATGAAAAATTTCTATACATAAAGAAGGCAGCAACAGAATAAGCTAGAAGTTTAAGATAAAAATCACACAGTAAATATTTCTTCTTTCAACAAACTGGTGTATCCCACTGAGGCAGGGTGGCCCAAAAAGAAAAACAAAAGTTTCTCCTTTCACATTTAGTAATATACACTGGAGAAGGGGTTACTAGCCCCTTGCTCCTGGCATATTAGTCGCCTTTTACAACACACATGGCTTATGGAGGAAGAATTCTGTTCCACTTCCCCATGGATTGTTCAAGGGATTTTTTTTTTTAGACAATATTTCTGAAGCTACTGGGAGATAAAAGGAGTTTTTCACCCAATTTTAGGTCATTTGATTTACTGTACATAAAGTGTTTATTCAGGTCGAGTCACACATGAAAAGTCGAAGATTCTGAAGAGAAGTTGCAGAGGTTGGTGGATGAATTTGGTAGGGTATGTAAAAGAAGAAAATTAAAAATGAATACAGGAAAGAGTAAGGTTATGAGGATAACAAAAAGATTAGGTGATGAAAGATTGGATATCAGATTGGAGGGAGAGAGTATGGAGGAGGTGAATGTATTCAGATATTTGGGAGTGGATGTGTCAGCAGATGGGTCTATGAAAGATGAGGTGAATCACAGAATTGATGAGGGGGAAAAGGGTGAGTGGTGCGCTTAAGAGTCTGTGGAGACAAAGAACTTTGTCCTTGGAGGCAAAGAGGGGAATGTATGAGATTATAGTTTTACCAACGGGTGTGAAGCATGGGTGATGAATGTTGCAGCAAGGAGAAGGCTGGAGGCAGTGGAGATGTCATGTCTGAGGGCAATGTGTGGTGTGAATATAATGCAGAGAATTCGTAGTTTGGAAGTTAGGAGGAGGTGCGGGATTGCCAAAACTGTTGTCCAGAGGGCTGAGGAAGGGTTGTTTAGGTGGTTCGGACATGTCGAGAGAATGGAGCGAAACAGAATGACTTCAAGAGTGTATCGGTCTGTAGTGGAAGGAAGGCGGGGTAGGGGGTCGGCCTAGGAAAGGTTGGAGGGAGGGGGTAAAGGAGGTTTTGTGTGCGAGGGACTTGGACTTCCAGCAGGCATGCGTGAGCGTGTTTGATAGGAGTGAATGGAGACAAATGGCTTTTAATACTTGATGTGCTGTTGGAGTGTGAGCAAAGTAACATTTATTAAGGGATTCAGGGAAACTGGCAGACTGGACTTGAGTCCTGGAGATGGGAAGTACAGTGCCTGCACTCTGAAGGAGGGATGTTAATGTTGCAGTTTAAAAATTGTAGTGTAAAGCACCCTTCTGGCAAGACAGTGATGGAGTGAATGATGGTGAAAGTTTTTCTTTCTTGGGCCACCCTGCCTTGGTGGGAATCAGCCAGTGTGTTAATAATAAAATAAAAAAAAAAATTATTTTTAGTCATGCTTATATGAGATATTGCAGCTCTCCATGAATTGTTGTAGGTGAGAGCTAATGCATGTATTGAGTGTTTTGTATATGTAATATGACAAGTTGTATGTGTGGCTACTTTGTTAAGTAAGTTTCAATCATTGAATAATAGAGGGTGTTCTGTCTGGAATCAGAGACTGACTGATTGTTCTACAGCAGATTGCTTTTATGTTATAACTGGATGATAAATAGATGGTTTGATGTTGTAAAATCCCATGCACATATTCCACAGATGCAATAAGAGTAGATTATGGCAGAATAAATACTGAGGAATGGATGCTACAAAGCTAGCTCTGCTCTCCATGCATACAAAACAAATTCTCCAGTTCCTCTGGCATACCTTTATTGCTAGCTTCTTAGAATCATCTTCTGAAGTTTCATTTATGACTTTCAAAGAAACAATTGGTGGCAAGGGGATATTCTTCTGATTACGGCTGGGCATCTTTTGGCGTATCCACGACAAGTCATTTTTTGTTGGATACCCAACCTTTGTCCCTGCTAAAACTTGCACTTCATATTTCTTACCAGGATGAAGGTCAGTAATCTCAAACTCATGAACATCAGCAGAGACCTGTGGTTAAATGTAAAAAAAAAAAAGATCCGAATAAGCAAAAAACAATATGTAAAGGAAAGTTATAGCACTAAACATGTGTACACACACATATTGTCCAACATGTGTGCACACACATGTTGGACAACAAGACCTGATGATAAGTATGGTAGAGTAAAAGCCTCAATTTAATAAGGATTAATATTGGAAGAACACATAGCAACTTATGGTGAGTGTGCTAGACAAAGATAAGATTATTTTGTTGTAATCTTAACCCTTTCACTGTCCATACTCTCGAAATTAATATAGCTCACAGTGCCGACTCTAAAAAAAACAAAAACAAATATTTTTCTCAAGTGATAAAGAAACTTTTTCTGTAGGTGATGACACCAAAGGTATGAAAGTGAGTGGAAAACTTATGGAATTACACCAACACAAAGTTAGTGATCTCGACGCAATTTACACATCAGCGATTTTACCGACCGAGTCCTGTTTTAAACCAATTCCACTGCTTCCTATGAACAAATTCTCGGCTACTGCACTGGTATGCCTTCAGCTCTACTGATTCAGTAAAGCTATTTTAACTACCCTATAAAGTGCACAGAAGTCAGAAATTTTACACAAAATTCAAAGACTACCAAATTTAAAAACAGTCTCAAATAAACAATGTAGACACATTTGGAACTAAAATAAAATTTGCTCTGTTCATTAATCATGTTCCCAGGCCTCTTCTATATTACACTTGCCTTCCATTTTGAATTCTTAATCACACAAAAATAGAAGATTTACTCTAATTCTCAGATAATAAAATATAAAGAGAAAGGACTGATATACCTTTGAAGAGTTTCGAGAATTTCACTACTCTCGGAACCTGGCCATGGGCCAGGCTTATCTGGTGCTTGCGTGGTCAACCAGGCTGTTGCTGCTGGAGGCCCGCTGCCCCACATATCCATCACAGCCTGGCTGATCTGGCACCTGGTGAAGATACTTGTCCAGTTTCCTCTTGAAGGCTTCTACACTTGTTCTGGCCATGTTTCTGATATCTGGTAAGATGTTGAACAGTCTAGGACCATGGATATTGATACAGTGTCCCCTTATTGTCCACACAACACCCCTGCTCCTCACTGGGTTCATTTTGCACTTCTTCCCATATCTCTCACTCCAGTATGTTGTTATAGCAGTGTGCAGATTTGGGACCAGGCCCTCAAGTACTTTCCAGGTACAGTATACAGTGGACCCCCGCATACCGTTGGCATCACATAACGTTAAATCCGCATACTGCTACATTTTATCGCCAAGATTTTGCCTCGCATACCGCTAAAAAACCCGCTCAACGCTGTTCGTCCGAGACGCGTCTAATGTGCGCCCTTAGCCAGCCCCACATGTTCCGCCGGTGGCATTGTTTACCAGCCAGCCTCCGCGGTAACATCCAAGCATACAATCGGAACATTTCGTATTATTACAGTGTTTCTGGTGATTTTATCTGCAAAATAAGTGACCATGGGCCCCAAGAAAGCTTCTAGTGCCAACCCTACGGGGAAAAAGGGGTTTGAGAATTACTATAGAGATGAAGAAAGAGATCATTGATAAGTATAAAAGTGGAGTGCGTGTCTCGGGGGCTGGCCGGTTGTATAGTAAAACCCCAATCAACCTTCGCTACTATTGTGGGCAACAAAAAGGCAATAAAGGGGAAGCTGTTCTTGCCAAAGGTTTAACTGTGTTTTCAAAACAGAGATCGCAAGCGATGGAAGATTTTGAGAGACTGTTTTTGGGTTTGTGGATAAATGAGAAAACGATAGCGGAGTTAGCATCTCTCAAGTGATCATAGTGAAAAGGCAAAGGAAGTTGCATGAGGATTTAATTAAAAAAAATGCCTGCAACTAGTGATGATGTGAGTGAATTTAAGGCCAGCAAAGGTTGGTTTGGAAAGATTTAAGAGGCGTAGTGGCATACATAGTGTGATAAGGCATGGTGAGGCTGCCAGTTCGGACCACAAAGCAGCTGAAAAATATGTGCAGGAATTCAAGGAGTACATAGAAACTGAAGGACTGAACCTGAACAAGTGTTTAATTGTGATGAAACAGGCCTGTTTTTGGAAGAAAAAAGCCAAGCAGGACCTACTTATCAGGAGGAAAAGGCACTCCCAGGACATAAGCCTATGAAAGACAGGCTTACTCTGGGTTTTTGTGTTCCAATGCTATGGTGATTGCAAAGTGAAGCCTTTATTAGTATATTTACTCTGAAACTCCCAGGGCGTTCAGGCAAAAGAATGTCTCAAGGAAAAAATTTTTGTGTGCTGTGGAGGGCAAACAGTAAGGCATGGGTCAAATAGGGACTTTTTCTATGACTGGTTCACCATGCATTTGCCCAATGTGAAAGATTACCTAACTGAAAAGAAATTAGAACTTAAATGCCTCCTGGTGTTAGACAATGCCCCTGGTCATCCTACAGGGGTGGCGAGCGACTTTATGGGGACATGAAATTCATTAAGGTGAAGTTTTTGCCTCCTAATACCAAATCCTCTCCTGCAGCCCCTGGGGCCCAGCAGGTTATTGAAACTTCAAAAAACTGTACACAAAGCTTGTTTGAAAGGTGCTTTTTTAGTGACCTCAGAAACTCAACTGATCTAAGAGAGTTTTGGAGAGATCACTTTAATATCCTCAATTTTGTAAACCCTTTTAGGTAAGGCTTGGGAGGGAGTGACTAAGGACCTTGAACTTGCTTGGAAGAAACTGTGGCCGAATGTGTACACCAAAGGGATTTTGAAGGGTTTCAGGCTAACCCTGAGAATCCTATGCCAGTTGAGGAATCCCTTATGGCATTGGGAAAGTCTTGGGGTTGGAGGTTTAGGGGGATGATGTGGAAGAGTTGGTGGAGGAGGACAATGAAGAACTAACCCCTGATGAGCTGATAGATCAGCTTCAACAGCAAGAGGCCAGACCTGGGAAACTGGTTCGAAGGAGGGGAGAGAGAAATTGAAGAAATTGCCTACTACAAAGATTAAGGAAATCTGTTTCAAAGTGGCTTGAGGGGCAAACCTTCATGGATGAAAATCACCCCCACACAGCTATTGCAAGCCGTGCTGGTGACTATTACACTGACAATGTTGTGAAACACTATAGGGAAGTCATAAAAGAACGAGAGGTACAGGCCACTATGGACAGATATGTTGTGCGACAAAACTCCAGTGACTCTGAAGCTGGTCCTAGTGGCATTAAAAGAAGAAGGGAAGTAACCCCAGAAAAGGACTTGACACCTCAAGTCTTAATGGAAGGGGATTCCCCTTCTAAACACTAACACTCTCTCCTCCTCCCATCCCATCAATCATCACCAGATCTTCAATAAAAGTAAGTGTCATGTAATTTTGCATGCCTTTTTCAGTTTGTGTGTATTAAAATTAATATTTCATGTGGCAAAATTTTTTTTTTTCATACTTTGGGGTGTCTTGCACGGATTAATTTGATTTCCATTATTTCTTATGGGGAAAATTCATTCGCATAACGATAATTTCACATAACAATGAGCTCTCTTGCACGGATTAATATCGCTATGCGGGGGTCCACTGTATATTATCATATCTCTCTCTCTCTCTCTCTCTCTCTCTCTCTCCACTCCAGTGAGTAGTACATGTTCGAGACTTGAAGGCATTCCCAGTAATTTAGGTGCTTTACTGGCTCAATGTGAGCCATAAATGATCTCTGCATTTGTTCCAGCTCTGATATTTCTCCTGCTTTGAACGAGACCGTCAGCACCGAGCAATATTCTAAATGCGGGAGCACTAGCGATTTGAAGAGTGTCACCACATGCATTATTTCCCTCGTTTTGAAAGTTCTCGATACCCACCCTGTCATTTTCCTGGCTGTCGTGATCTTTGTTTTGATTTTTTTTTTTAACACGTCGGCCGTCTCAAACCATGGCAAGGTGACCCAAAAGAAAGAAAAACCCAAAAAGAAAGAAAAAACTTTCATTATCAGTGAACGCTTTCACCATCACTCATACATAATCACTGTCTTTGCAGAGGCACCCACATACGACAATTTAGATAGTCCCTCCAAACTACCAATATCCCAAACCCTTCCTTTAAAGTGCATGCACTGTACTTCCCATTTCCAGGACTCAAGTCCGGCTAACTGGTTCCCATGAATCCCTTCACAAAATATTACCCTGCTCACACTCCAACAGCTCGTCAGGTCCCAAAAACCATTCATCTCCATTCACTCCTATCTAACACGCTCACGCATGCTTGCTGGAAATCCAAGCCCCTCACCCACAAAACCTCCTTTATCCTTTCCCTCCAACCTTTTCGAGGACGACCACTACCCCCCCCCCTTCTTTCCCCTACAGATTTATACATTTTCGAAGTCATTCTACTTTGTTCCATTCTCTCTAAATGACCAAACCACCTCAACAACCCCTATTCAGCCCTCTGACTAATAATATTAGAAACTCCACGCTTTCTCCTAATTTCCACACTACAAATTCTCTGCATAACATTTAAACCACACATTACCCTTAGACAGGACATCTCCACTGTCTCCAGCTGCATCCTCGCCGCAGCATTTACAACCCAAGCTTCACACCTATATAAGAATGTTAGTACCACTATACTTTCGTACATTCCCTTCTCTGCCTCCATGGATAACGTTTTTTGTCTCCACAGATACCTCAACGCACCCCTTATCTTTTTCCGTTCAGGAATTCTATGGTTAACCTCATCCTTCATAAACCCATCCACTGAGAAGTCAGCTCCCAAATACAGTGGACCCCTGGATTACATAATTAATCCATTCCAGAGAGAGTGACTAAACCCAAATCTGACTAATTCGAAATTAATTTTCCCCATAAGAAATAATGGAAATCCAATTAATCCATTCCAGACACCCAAAAGTATACATGAAATATACATTTCCCTACACAGAAAACAATGAGACATGCAGAATAAAACATTACTAAAATGACACTTACCTTTATTGAAGACTTATTGATGAGTGATGAGACAGGAGGGGAGAGGCTGGAGGTGT